CATCTGTTGAATAAATTGAAAATTCATAAAGTTCAAAACGGAGCGAAACATGCGATAGAAATTGCTCGCCGTGGTCACGTCATCAATGGTTTAATCAGACAGCGTTTTCCCCACTTGTATTTTCCAAAAGCGATCTTTCTACTTTTAAAGGACTACATATATTTGAAGATTGGCAGGATGATGACATCCGCTTTTGTACAAGTCCATGAGCTGGCTTGAAGTTAAAATATTGCGAAAGGTCAATTGTTGTTTCAATCAACTAATATGGAAGAAACTTTGGAAAAAGACTGGTTGAGTGTATCAAGTTGAATTAATTGATTCTTTAGACTTCGCCGCTATACTGAAACCCAAGAAGATCCGTTGGTGAACCCAATCGACAAGAAGGTTAATCCATGGGCCGAGAAGAGCAAATGTTCTGTGTTATAAAGACAACGCCTCGTTCGCGACTTTATATATTAACAACCTTCTTAACGTCATAACATATTCCTGGTCGTTTCTGGAGATGTCTTGAATTCCCCACCGACTGCCTCATTAGGTATCATGACACTGAAACTCGCTAGTTTTGATTTTGTGCTTCCTATGTCATATTTAATGATCTTATCTCTATTAAATTATAATCATTGTACTTCTGCGCTGTTGTCAAACACTGATAATTTCAATTCTTTCTCTAAGCTTTACATTGTTTTCTAGTCGTTTTAAGGTAAATAAATAATGAAACAGTGACGTATGTATGAGAAGTTATATTTAGGTGACTTCTGTGCAAAGGTTTATGCGTTTGTGGTTCATGATTGTTTGGGAGTGGTCCTGGTAATGAGCATGTTTGAAGTACGCTTATTTTTGCTCTTCAGTGTCATGAAATTGACCGCTAATCTGCATCTATTCTCGTAAAAATTTCGAATTCTGATTGCGAATCGTAACTAACAAACTCGACAAAGCAGGAATGGGGAGGGGTGGAAATGAGACTATTGCAGGAAAAGCTACGAACTCCTGTTAGTCTTGATCTTAATGATATTTCTAGCAGAAACTCGAAGTAGTAGGAAATTATTTAAGTACGCACGCTTATTTAGCCCCTAAAAAACCCGAAAAAAACAAGGGCTTTGATAATGTTCTTCACACCATAATATTATTGCTTTATAAGATATTTGGCTTGCTAACCAAAGTCGACAGGCTTTGATAACTCTTACTTTAAATGAAAAAAAAAACAATTACAAAAGGCTGCTCCTCAATTGCCCTTTTTGGAAACCCCTAACAGTTGGCAAATTCCTACCTGGTGGGCGTTGCTGATTTCGAGATATCCTTTCCGCATCTTATAAAGCTAGTTTAGGTCACGGTACGTAGAATGTTGTATCAAAGTACAAATTTGGACTAAGTGGTCTGTTGAGGCTATCTGTATTGTTAGAAAAATCAGTTCTGCACAATGATATGCCTAGATTACGGTATCGACACGGTGAAATGACCAAGATCATTGATCTGGCTAGAAGAACAATTTGATTATGTTTGTGTTTCTATTTAAATGACCCTATCTGAACGCTGAACGGATATGATATTCTTAAAAGCCCTGATGGATACTTTACAAGGAAACCCGTGATTTTGGCATCCTCACTTTCTTTTCACCTACGGTAAACTTCTACCGTGAACCGAATATGATATTCGTAAACTAATCTGATCATGCAGCGTTTCAGTGAAACCGAAAATCCTGAGGTATACAAAAAGGCGATCAACCATATTCATCGTTTTGTCCTTTGAAATCTTACTATGGTAAACAATCGAATTCCTCGGTTGGATTGTTGGTTGGTTGCCGAGCAAAGCTTTTTTGCACAGCAAAATCAATTTTTTCTAGCAATACATGAAATCGCACCGAAACTTTTGATTTTTTAGAATTTTGCGAGCTTTGAACAATGGCGCAGAATTGTCTGACAACCCAAAATATCTCATAACAGATTGGCATTCTTTTGCTTGGAATGGATGAATGGCGAACGCATCGAATCTTTATGTTATTACAAAAGTAAAATTGAATGAAATCAAATAAGCTTTGAAGTTTAATACTGAAGTGCGATAAAAACATTCCTTGAGGTTAATCAAAGAACAATGAATGACGGTTGAATGCACAT